TTACCGCGCCAGACCCCCTCCACCTCCGCGTTTGAGCTTTGCGAGAATACACGCGTACTTGGGGCAGAGCTTTTCTTTTGTTTTTCAAACTTGAAATTGCTCTCAAAGCAGAAGCTGCACCGCCTCCTCCCTCGTGACCTTTGAGCCCTGGATCGAAGTACGAAGCTTGGAGTGGTTATTGCTCGTTTGCAAAGTCTTTCCGTGACCCGAGGAGTTGTTGGGTGCTGTGTGCATATACACGTGTGTATGTACGTGGAGGATAATGAGGGCGAGCAAACTTCTAGTGTGGACGAATATGGTGGAAGCCAACTTCGAGGACCGTTACATGCGTATGTATATACGTGTACCTATTCGTACACTCTCCGTCTTTCTCTGGTAATTAATGTGTTTGACCCGAATATCGTGTACCACTGCCATCTGTGGAGGTGGAAAAAAGACAAGCTGCGATGTTTGGAGCTTAGTTTGTCGAGTCTGGAGTTTGCATAGTTGGTGACGAGAATGAAGATTCCTATGTTGCAAGTGTTTTTTTGCAAACAGCGTACGATTACATTTAAACATTTTTTTTATCCACACACCCCCCATGACAGAACTTTTAGTGACATTATTCAATCATCTTGCTTCAAAGTTGTATGTGTTTCACTCGTAGATTTTACAATAATTATATTGTATATCAAAACGATCTTTCCCTCTAACGTTTGCTCGAGAGGATCCTCGAAAAATGTACTTAAACATACGGCTTTTCACGATGCAACTCGCCCAGTTGTAAGAACCACGAGTCCTTAGTTGCTCAACTGATATCTACGTTTATTACAAGAGCCATCAATTTTTTTTTTTCATATTTCCTTGATAATTTTTCCATCCGTATGACCATTCTTCAGGTTCTACTGCGAGGGATTCCGTATACGAATTTTTCCTGGCGCGCAATCTTAAATCACCTCTTTTCTCTAATCCAGCATACATGCCGGAGCGCAAAAGGCGTCACTACAATCTTCAGAGGCGGAGAAAAGATGAAAAAAAAAAAAAGCGTTACCCGATTAACACGTGACGGGAGGCACAAAAGATTTAACGCCCCATAAATTTCGAAAATTTCGTGCACAAAAGAGCCCCGCGTTACACACACACACACACACACACACACACACACACACACACACACACACACACACACACACACACACACGAGTAAAGAGGTCGCGTTGCGTTCGCGAGAGAGAGAGAGAGAACTCCACTTATCACAAAGTCAAAGGCACTGAATGCAATGAAAGCCACCGCGGCGCTTTCACAGTACACGCACACATATATACTCTTACCGCGCCAGTGCACCTCTAGAATCCGTATGGGTGTGAATGGTGGTTCTTCACAAGCAAGCCGATACACGGTAGTCCTCGGGGGCTTTTTTGTTGTTGTTGTTGCATACAGACACGCGCGACAATCCGACCGTCATGTGCCGAGAAGGGAAAACGAGAGGGAAAAAAGTAGTTTTTTTTTTTTTTTTTTTTTTTTTTTTGTTCGCAAACGAGGAGCCCACGCAGCGGTGACGAGTTATCGCGGAGGAGCTACTAGTTGCCTGCGAAACGGCTCTCGAGCGCGCGAGTGAAAAATTTCGAGGGCTCTCTTTCTTACGCACAATTTTTTTGTCCCCCTCCCCCCCCCTTCCTTTTTACGGAAGGCGTACAGTCAGCATGGGGAGCGAGGGAAGGGCGGAGTGTATCTAACCTCGTTATTTTCCGAACGCGACGGGGCTTCCTTTCAGTTTCCCGGCACTGCAGCCAGCCACCGACGCCGTAATCGCATTATCGCGTATCGTCGTTACGCGTATATGTACACACCCGTACATATATATATATATAATACGGTTGGCTCGAGTCGTTGTCGTCTTTGCTACTTATGTATCTACCCTCGTGTCGGGAATAAAAATTTGTTTCCTTCGTGTATGTATACGCAGCTGACGCCGGGGTGGCTCGTTGGTTGTGTATACGCGATTTTTTCAGGGGACCTTTGACACTCGTTTTTTCTTCCTCCCTCCTCCGACTTATCGCGGGGGAAGCGACTTTTCGAGATCGCTCCGTATGTGTGTGCTGTATGGGTATTATTTTTTTCCTAGTAAAAAGAGTTGTAGATACTGTAATGGAGAAAAATATGATACTCGTAGTAATAGACTCGCAACGAGGCTGTAATGGCTCGAGCTCACCAAATTACAATACTCATCAGATATGACGGAGGGTTCAAAGGACTCTCGACAAAGGCTTCCACGGAGCGATATAATGGCACAACACGTCGGGTTTGTTATTAATTGCTGACGATTCGTCAACCCTCCGTCATCAATCACAAACAGCGGCCTCTCGTATTTTGTACGATTACGTAACGTGCCGAGGTGAAAAAAGTGCCAGGGTATATATAATTCTAGAGTTCATTCATCTCGAAAAAAATGCCAAGAAGCCCCTTGGACTGTATACACGCATATATAGGCATCTAAAAAATATTGAGCTGGTAAGCCGCGACGCGTGACCTCTGCGAAGAGTGTATACGCACGAGTGAAAGTTCTCTGACGAGAAGAGAAGAAAAAAAAAAATACTAATGATCGAGGATAGCGCAGTGAAATATCGAAACTCGGCAATTACCACAAACTGGTAGCGTATCGTCGTTTACATGAACTTTTTCCTACAAACAGGATGGAAAATTACTTTTCATCCCAATGTATTTTGTCCGACAGTACATTTCGCACAAACAAACTAAATTATACATGATAATCTTTGCATTCGTAAAGAGAAGAAAAGCATCAGAACACGCACACGCACGAGACAGATCGATTGACCGCAAACCTACGCGCATATATTTATATACAGGTACACGAGAAGCGCGACTTCCAGAAGTACAGAGATATTATATGCATGGTCAGCCCATAGGAATTTCCATCTTGGGCGCAGGCACCGACTCCGATTGACACAAAAATTACTATTCACAGCCATAAATATTCATACAGTGGCGATGCATCGCGATCCTTCTCCTTCGCTCGGAATTAATATACACTGCGCGGTGAAGAGGAGCCGTCGCTTTTTATGCGCCATACTCTAACGACTCGCCAGCTATAACCCACTCGGCCGGAGGTGGGTATAAAACAATGCTCGTAGGCGCGGGCGTTTGCGTTTCGCCAATAACGCCAAATGGAAACGAGGCTTCTCGGAACTCGTCGCGCATCGGTGTTTGAGTTGAGTGGAAAGAGTTCGAAACGATTAATAATGTAAAACCAATGCAATGATTTTTTTGTCAATTTTGGAGAAGGGATTATTATTTCACGTTGAGCACACGAAAGGTACACCTTGATCGTCGATTGTCTGCCGGTTGATCGAAGACAGCAGTGGTCTATAAACATCATTGGTCTACCAGTACGTGCGAGGAGTGGTTTTTTAAGTTCCAAAGTCTCGTTGCACACTCGCGCACCCGAGTCTCGGCTTCAATAGCGCTTCCTTTTTTTCCTTACACTCCGGACGGAGGAGGTGGAGGGTCAGAATTTATGGCTCCGATTAAACGATATACTCGCTCGTTCGAGGCAGAGCCTCTCTATATATACTCGCCCCCTTCCCTCGAAAATCGGACTTGCTCGCAAAAGCACACGTATCGGTATATATATACGCGTCTCTTTTTTCCGTCCTCCTCGGCCGATCTCTTCTTTAAAAGAAAAAAAAAAAAAAGCGAGACAAACGCGCCCCGGAGATAAAGAAGAGGGATACTCCTCGCCAACTCGAGAGACGGGCTTATCTGAAAGAGCGCCCCGGCGTCCGATCTCCTGTCTCTTTCACCGGTTTTTCTATACGCCAGCCTTTCAGGGCTGTCTCTCTCGTGTATCGAAAGGAGGAGGTTACTTGCCCTTGAAACTTATCGTCGAAACAGCGCCCGCTTATTGAACCTCACGGTGTACACGGGTGTATTCAATATCGGGATGCGCGTGGGGAGACAAACTATATCGCTCGCCCCTGTCCTGATTTACGCGCATCGTAGGTACACATTGCAGAGACAACTTCTTTCCCTCCGTCCCCGAACGAATAAAGTAAACATTTATCGATCGAAACGCCGGATACGATTAACGAGGAGCACGCAATACACTTACACATGGGTCGGGCACGCGAGGTGGGTGCGCTACTTACACCTCCGTGCCCCCATACATTGCTATACAAGGCACACCTTTGTTTTACCATGTGTGCGACGCGTACACGCGACGATATGACCCGACTAAAGGGCGTGCTCTAAAACTTTTCTCTCTTTCTCTTGCGTGTTGTTGCAGCTTATTTAACGATGCCGCTGTTTCGTCCTCGCTATCAAACAATTTCGTGCTCCGCGAGTTACATTGGCTTGTGTTATAAATTATCATAATTGTACGACTTTGAGAGCCGCGAGAATACATTGAGGGAGGGAGGAAAAAGTAGTTCGGTCGCGGTAAGGTAAAATTTTCTTGGCAAGGATTCCGCCTTCGGCCGCAGGGATTAAAAATAGAAGCGATTATGCGGCTCGTACCGTGTGCACTGTATGGCCTGCACGTACGAGAGTTTTGCGAAATTTATGACCGAGGCATTGCGCGCTAATTTATCATATGCTAATACAAAAATGTCGATTGCGAAACATCTTAGGGGGAAAAAAGGGTCCGCTTGTTACGAACACGTGGTTCCCGAAAAACTTTGGAATTGTGGTATTTGTTTTCAATCCGAGTGCCTATGCAGTATGACATGTAAGCTCGTAAATCTCGATTATGAAACGATAATATGCGGGGTCACGTTACCCGGTCTATAATGTAATAAGCTGGGCCGGTGATTTTTCTCTTTGGCGGACTGAATTAGCGACCAGTCCACGGGACACCCGATACGTTTCGCAACACCTCACGGACGCGATATTATTTTCAAGAAACGTCACAATGCAGGCCGAGGAGTAATTGCGAATGTACAAGGTATAATAAAAAAAAAAATTAAAAAAAATACCATTGATTACGTGATGGAAAAAGAGCTCACCTTAATACTGTCGTAGCAAGCGGTGACCCGTCCGTTCTGCACTTCAACGTTGGCCGGCGGATGAGCGAACTTGCACTCGGTGTCGGGCCGGGTGCACTTTTGCCGCTGGTATTCCCTGCAAACCTCGAGCTGGAGCCATCGCGAGTCCTTGCCGTTCAGTAGATTGTTCATGTTGACCATAGCCATCTCTTCCTCGAGCCGTGCGTGGGAAAAATCTCCTCCTCCTCTTGTTTTTCTCTTCCCGGGGAACGCTCTATCTCCCGCTTTTCGGTTTCACTCGCGATCTCCGGAGACGACGGCGCTCTCGTTCAACTGGTACATATACATACATACACATGCGTTACACGTACATTGTTGCAAAGTCGGTAATTACCGGGATCGCATACGTATCAGCGCGGCAAGGAGAGAGGCCTTTCTCTGGTCGACCGCGAAACGTTTTTCAACTTTCGATCGGTGCGTAAGAAAAATCAACGTCACCCGACACACGCACTCTCTCCTGGCCTCGAAGCGCGACCCCGATAATTACCTCGCGTAAAAACTCTCTGTCTCTCTCTCTTTTTTTTTTCCTCCGGTGAACCGCGAAAAATCCAACGATCGCGTACACAAGAGCAAGAGAGTCGACGGTGATCTAACGAAAAACAGCGGTGACCCTACCTCCAGTTTTCTCGTGCCGCTGCTGCTGCACCGGTGCCAAATGGGTATACAGAGGGAGCCAGTCTCAAGCTCTCCTGCTCTCGCTTGCGGGTGTTGGGCGAGTGCTCCTCATTGATGCGGGCGGGTGTTTTGTGATCGTCGGCCACCGGTCGCTCGAGTCGGACGAAAGGGCCGGGAGGACAGGGGAGCGGGAAGGAAAGAGAGAGAGAGAAGGGGGATGGCGAATTTGGCTCCGTTTATTTTCCCTTTTGCGTCATTTATGTCGGCGTGGCTGGCATTTGGTTTCTTCGGTGGACGACGTGGCGCTGCTCCCTTAGCTCGTCGAGGCTCTGGAAACACACGAAAAAAGCAAAAGGTTAGCCGGTACTATACTTTCATCGTATGGCTCATTGTTGTCATATATACAAATAATTAGGTTGGTTTTCATCGACACAGGGGTGACATTGACCCTTTAGCAGGTACTTATTCGTCAATCGATTACACGCTATAGCTTTTTCCCGATAGCTCCTGTTAACTTTAACTCACGAGGTTCCATTTCGTGCCATTTTTCTTCTTGTATCATAACACGAGAATGTATACTTAAAATTGGTATGCGGGCTGTGCGGGTGATGGCAAATACAACGAGCAAGCAATAGTGATAACTGCGTGTGTATATGTACTCTAAAAGGTCAAAGACAGAGAGGAAAGTGTGCTAGAGCAAGAGCACGTGTTGCATAATGGCACGAGCTCGCGCGAGGACTGTGCCCTGAGAGAAAGTATACCGTTTGTCTTTTAACCACTCCTTTACTCGCAGTACAAATACGAGAGTCGGTCGGCGGGACTTTGACGCGCGGGTGGCGCTCGTTTTGAGAATCTGCGTGGGAATTCGGAGATAAAGGTAGAAGCATGTGGGCGCAGGTTGGGTTTTCGCGTGTGTGCAGTTGGCCGGGAAGTCCTTGGGCTCGAGCGAGATATGCGGGGATTAGAGGCGGTTTGTTGAAAATTAGGTGGGTCGTTTGTAAACGGGATTTCTGCGCATTGGGCTGATTTGTTGGTCTTCGCGTGCACGAGGATTGCTGCTGGGTTACCCCAAAAAAGGTACTTTTTATAATTATCATTATGAAGACGGAACGGATCTTACACATTGAGTGATTTTTGCAATACATTTCAACAACAATATCTGCGAGTTTGTAATTACATAAAGGTACCTATTGTAAAACGATCATTTTTTTTTTTTTTTTTTAACTCGTTAGGTCATATGCTACAAATTTTGGTTTTTTGGTTGGCGCACTTTTTAAATTTTTAATCCAAAATTTGATATCATCACCGCTGTGCATGTGATTACAAAAGAGCACATTAATCTTGTCCCAATGCTTGATAAAATCCCTGTCCCTATTATGAAACTCCTATTAAAAAATTACTCTGTGTAGTCACTTGAATCATTTGGTCGAAGTGACATGATTGCCTATTGTTATAAATCGATTCCACCTCCATTTGATTATTTAAACAGGATAAAATGATCCCTTGAGTCTGCTTATTCACAATACGGAGTACTGAAAGACATTGGCTGGGTTTCAATTTGTCGCGAACTAAAGATCAATCGGCATAATATCCTGAATTCCCACCTTTGAAAAAAAAAAAAAAAAAAAAAAAAAAAACAACCCCAAAAGAGAAACTCAATGGCGAACAATCAGCCGCAGAGGACCTCGCGACGCTGGTTGCCGACAGGTTGTATATACATATTCAATCAGCGAGTAGAGCCCATCAGCGAGCACAGCCTCGTGCGTTTTCCATCTGAAATATCGTCTCGTAAACAACACCCCCCCACGCCCGAATAAATAAGTGGCCGCTCAAAGAGCCAGCCTAGAGGAGAAGGCAGACGGAGAGCAAAAACTGTACCAGCAGCGTAGAGTATAAAAGAGACTCGTTAAGCGATCGCCGTGGAAAATACCTGCAGCACTAGACCGTACAATGGGCGACGACGACGCAACGCGGAACCTCGGAGGCGTTGGGAGATGTATGGGGGGGGGGGGGCAAAAAGCCGGAGAGTGAAACGCGAGAGGAGGAGACGGAGGAAGAAGAGCTGCATTGCAATTTCGCGGGGCTCTCCTAAGCTGCTTACACGGAGGGGGAGGAGGGCAGGCGTAGTCGTTCATTCTCAGCCTCTGAAAAAGTTGGGGAGAGATAGAGTTCCGGGACGTATGTCCAGAGGAGGGAGATATATTGTATGGGCCGAGGAGAAGGAAGGCTCGGGTAAAATAATACCCAGCGCGAGAGAAATCATTCGTCGCGATGTTTCTTACTCGGCAAAGCCGATTGCCGATGGTCCTCCACGTGGAAAGTCGAAGGGCCGAAATCCCTGACTGTCTCACGGAGTCGGGCCGTTTTTCACGGTCAGCGTCGCGTGGAATTGATTTGCGCTCTACGACTCTTTCTGTCTCCCAACTGGACTTTGTTGCAGATTTTAGTTTTGCTCTATTGGGGACCGATTTGTAGTTGTCTATTTGTTTGTACATGTGACTTCTAGAGATTTTTTTCTTTTCTTCATAACATAAAAAAGTACTCGTATTTCTGGTTTGTTTTACGGGTTGGGAAATATTTGTAGGGACACTTATTTTACAATTTTCAGGAGCATCAGTCCAAGACAATATCATCCTATTTTCAGGACTTTTGATGCATACAATAGCGATGGATTGCGAAAAAAATTTAACAAATTGATAAGACACTGCATTGAGAAAATAATAAAAGTCAAGGTGAACACGAAATTTCTGACAGAGAAGAGGCAAAATAAGGAGATACATAGAAATTATCTAAGGCAGTCGAGTTGCGGAGTGCTCTTTGAATCTTTTACATAAAAGAGGGAAGCAGCTTAGTTTGAGGTTATGCTCGATGGAAAATTTAACTCAAAAAACGGAGTAGATAAAACACTTTAAAGAGGCCGCTTTGAATCGGGGATCAGTAATGAAGAAAATGGAATAAAAATAAGATAGAAAATGAAGAAAGAGAGTGAACCACCACAATAGATAACGAGAAAAAAGTGGTTTGAATAAAAAAAAAAAAAAATTATCTAACAGATTCTAACATAAATACTGAAAAGGAAAAAAAAGAAGAGATGTATAAGAAGGAAGATGAAAGAATATAGTGATGGAAGGTGAAACGTTCAAAGAGAATGAATAGGTCGACTAAGTATGAGTATAAGAAGCGAGAAAAAAAGTAGAAATTGACAGAATGAGAATAATAAGACTAGAAGATGGAGCCAAAAGTGGGGTGAGGATAAAGAATAAAATGATAAAAAAGATATGGTATTAAAAAAACTTGACTGTTAAATGAAAAAGGTGCGCAAAAATATAGCAGAGAGGAGTAAAGGTGGAAAAAGATTTAAAAAGGCAAAAATTTCTTAAGCCATCGAGAAAAAAAGAATCATAGTGAAAAAAGACGGATAAAGGCAGGAAAATGATAGAAAGATAAAATTGCGGAAAATGGAGAAATAACTACGTTTATAATACCTTGGCATGCTCAGCACTGTAAAAAAAAAAAAAAAAATTAAAGGAAAGATTAAGGAGAATCAATGATGATGTTAAGTAAGGAGGGAAAAAAGTTGTGCTTTAAGAAGAAAAGTCGAAGAGTAGAGATTTAATTGAGTGGTATAAAAAAAGTTATAGTTAGTTCAATAAACATAGACTTCAAATTTGCAAATCTTAATTGCATTGGGGTAATACTTTCATTGGAAGCCGTAACAAGATATATATAAGGAACTAAACGCTTAACTAACTCGTTAAATAGCAACCTCCAATAAATAATAATGCTGGAAAAAATTTTCTCTCTCAAGCACACACGTAAAATAGCAAAAATTTTCCGACCCACTCGACTGATTAAACAAAGCCAGGGGTAGGATGGTAATTCGTATCTGGCTCGCGCGGACAGAAACTTTTCGCTAATCCCACCCCCGATAATTCCAATTAGAGCTCATGAGCAAAAAAAATGGGGCAGAGTAGGAAATTCCGGGGGCTAAAAAAAAAAATAGATCCGGGAGCCCGAGCACCTGACCAAAATTCAATTAACTAATTCAATTACGCTTAATTTCCCAGCCAAGTCGGGCTCCTTCTCCCGGGAACCTGCAGGAGCGACGAAATTTATGTACCATACACAGCCCCGCTGTTATTCCTCTTTAGCAATTTTTAATGCCTCCCTCGTGCTTTTTTCTTTCTACTTTTTTCTTTTTAATTCCACCGGCATCGTTAATAGAATCCAAGGCATTCTCATTGTGAAGCGCACAAGTGGAGGGGGGGGGGGAAGAGAGACTTGCCCAAGGGACGGACACTACGGAGCGACGGAAAAAAAAGCCGCACAACATAGCAGCCGTTCTAGCACACGTACGTAGTGAAACAAAGCCCGAGAGAGCCTCGCGGTATATGTATATATATACGTGTGTACACACACAATACACGTGTGTCGAGGCGAACGGCCCATTGTGCAGCGGAGAGGGAGCCAGCGCGTCCGTCGAACTGTGTAATCGAGGGCAGCCTATCGGAAAGGTTAAAAATTATTTTCTCCACAGAGTCGGCCGACGGTTTCTCGGAGCTAACGCGTTACGTAACCACGGATACTTATACACGCGCGCAAGGATGAGCCATATCCTTCTACCGATCGAGCACGACGACTCGGGTGTGTTTATACATGCTCGATACACCGGTGCTCTTTTCTCCCGTTTTCCCTCGAATGTATCGGCTGCATTCGTAATTCAAACGCTACAGGCTTTTTTACTCCTTCCCCCCGCTCTCTTCCTTCTCTCTATACTTCTCCTCGTATGTATATACCGTACATCCGAAAGACCTTTGGACCGTATGAATATTTCCTCCGAGCTGTTTTTCAAAAGTTTTATCATCAGTTTTCCCTCTCGGAGAAAGTTCGTTTAATACACCGCGACGGACGGCCGACTTACTGTTCGATGCGGTATAGGTGGACCTACAATGAAAACGCTACGGTTATTCTGGCGTATGATACACGTATACCTGCACATCTATAAATGGGAAGCTCAAAAAAAAAACGCTCGATCGGCTCTGCCTGTGTGGCCAATACTGTTATACATATGCGTATGGCTATTGAAAATTAATTGAGCGTGTTCCGATCTAACTATTTCGCTCCGAAAAATCGTGGAAAAAAAAACTACCCATAACCGCCATAGAAATGCATATGCGCGCATTAACATTCCAGAGTCAGGTTGTAATTGTCCAGCAATTGCGGAGTAAACTAACTCCTCTACGGACAAAAGCGTCTGTATACGTATTGAACGGGTCGATTCGCGCAATAAATCGCAAAGTGATTACGAGAATAATACGCGTGCACCTAT